TTAGGTCAGCATGACAGTGTGGCCTTGTGAAGTAGTCTGGTTCAGAGTTTACTTTGAAAATAGGTGCAGGACCTAATAATGGTGGGTTGAAGGTGGGGGTCTCATGGCAAAGACGACTCACAAATGACATCTTTTACTTAATTGTGATCTGCTGGAAAAGAGTTCAGCAAATTGTCAGTTTTGTGCTGCAGGTGTCCGGCTTGAGATGCCTCTCAGCCACGCAGGGAGGGAACACACAAGCCTGGAGATGAGGAGCTGGGCCAGAAATGTATGGCCTCTGATGCCATGGGTGGATAAAATCACACAGAAATGTCCATGGCCCTGAGGACTGCAAGCTGGGCCCCAGGGCATGTGGTACTTCCAAGTGCCTGAGAGGAGGAAGTAAAAGGTACCGGGAAGGAAGGGCTTTGACATGGGAGAAACTCAGGAAAGGTTGTCCCAAAGCAGGTGACATTTGGAGATGGAAGGAAGGGGCCCCTGCTTTGTTATGCTGGTGTTTGGAGGTGGCATCATTTGGGGGCAGAGGGTGGCAGTGGTTGAACGTGTGTTTGGGGCACTCAGGAGATGGGAGCTGCCGGGAGATGAAGCCAGAGCAGCCCAGGCCTGCGAGAAGTCTGTCAGGAAGAGTGGAGTGGGAGGGGGCAAGAGGAAGACAAGTTGGTTCTTCTGTTGGTTTGCCTGAGAGGTGTTGAGCAATAGAGCTGAGACATGATGGATTTAGGAGGACACTCAGTTAAGAAGGCACAAGGATAATAATCCATGGTGACCAAGGAGGTGATGGGTTAGGGTTGCAGCTGTGGGAGTTGTATGAGAGGTGTGGCCTCTGGATGGAGACCGGCAGGGCTCAGTGAGGTTTCATTTCTTGAACAGGATATTAGGCATGGCTCTGTTATTCTTTCTTCTTCTTCTTCTTTTTTAAATTAGTAACTTTATTAAATCTCAGTCCTTGACCTCATGTCTTTTTTGTTTTTAAATATTTTTTAGTTGTAGATGGACACAGTACCTTTATTTATTTATCAATATGTGGTGCTAAGGATCAAACCCAGTGCCTCACACATGCTAGGTGAGCGCTCTACCACTGAGCCCCAGCCCCAGCCCTCTTTCTTCTTTTCATTAAATTTGTATTGAAATGTCATAAGTTCTCCCTAAAAATCATTTTAAACTTTTGATGATAATTTCTCATTTATAAAGACATTTACTTGTTGAATTTTTATATTGTATTAAAATCAATTCATTGCTCTCATTGTCCTACAGGATGAATGGATGGATAGATAGATAAATAGATAGATAGATGGATGGATGAGACAAACCAAACCCTGCTGGTCTTTTGTGTTAGAATTTAGGAGGAGCTCATCCCTAGAAGCCCTTCCAGTTGCTTGTTCTATCAGTTCTTAATGTAGCCCTTTGCTGCCACCTAGTGTTAGAGTTTTCTTTTGGAGTTTTTTTGCAGGGGTGGTGAGGAAGGAGCTTTTTAAAACCTGAATAAAGGAAATTCAATTTAATTCCAAATGCATTGCTGTTCTTGGTGACTTTTTTTTTTCTTTAAATAATAGACAAGGGCTGGGGTTGTGGCTCAGAAGTAGAGCGCTCGCCTAGCACATATGAGGCCCTGGGTTCGATCCTCAGCACCACATATAAATGAATAAAATAAAGGTATTGTGTCCAACTACAACTAAAAAATAAATATTAAAATATAATAACAATAATAATAGACAAGGGGGCTGGGGTGGTGGTTCAGTGGTAGAGTGCTTGCCTAGCACGGGTGAGGCACTGGTTTCGGTTCTAGCACCACATAAAAATAAACAAAAATAAAGTTCTATCAGCAACTAAAATAAATAGATAAATAAATAATAGACAAAAGTAATAATCCATGTCTTCTTATCAAGTACCATTACAATACAGATAAAACAAACCAGATACCTAAATATATAGATGTCTGGTTCTGATAGAGTGGATTAATATAAAATCTATATAATGATTAAAACTTTTATGCTGTTGTTTTTTTTTTTTTCTTTTAAACTATGGTGCCAGGAGAGCTCTGAGGCGACCCCTCTAGAACATGAAACAAACCCTGATCCCATATAATCCATCGTAAGTCTCACCCATGAGGAGCAGTAATCTGGCTGGGTTGAGGAGCCCCTGATTTTTGATGTTAATTCCTTATTCCCTGGTCAAAGATATTTTGGCCTAGACTGTGGTAACCTTCTCTATTTTTAAGTAAAATCTTTTTATCATGTTCAGTCATCTACATTTGGAAAGTAGGATATGATATTTGGAGAGAAGACAGTTAAAGAACAATGAGTGGCAATGAATCTACTTTAGATAACCTTGAAAAATAGCTTCATAGCCAGAGGGACTTGTGACACTATTTGCCAGCAGCTACTCCTTGTTTTGGGAATTGGCCAGACATAGTACAGCATAATCATACTTTCATGTGAGAGTCGTTTTTTCCTTTAATGGCTGTTGCTGCCTCAAAAGGGTTAGGCAAAAGAATTTAAGTTGCCATTTCTTGTTGGTAATATTGGTAGACTCATGATGTGTTTCGTGTTTACTTTCTAGATGGGCTACCTTATAAGAATCCCATTACAGCCAGACACAATGGTGCACACCAGTAATCCCAGCTGCTTGGGAGGCTGAGGCAGAAGGATCTAAAGTTCAAAGCCAGTCTCAGCAACTTGGCAAGGCCCTAAGCAACTTAATGAGACTCTTTCTCAAAATATAAAATAAAAAGGGCTGGGGATGTGGCTCAGTTGTTGAGCAACCTGGGTTCCATACCTGGTACCAGGAAAAAAGAAAAAAAAAAGAAGAAGAATCCCATTAGACTGCAGGTCTGGAGTTGTTTGCTGGGATTTTTCTGAGTTAATTTGTTATGTGGATCTTCCACTATCCCCCTGCCTCCCACTGCTGAACAGAGCCTAGACATAGATTTTTTTAAAGGAAAAATAAAAGAATGTCTATTTCTTTGGAGTAGTGCAGTTGGGAACAAAAGGAAAAAATGACTTGTTTGGAGAGAAATCTGAGGGGGAGAGCGCTGCTGGCTGCTGTGCAGGTGGTGCCGGTGGAGGGTGCCCTGAGCCCACAAATGGATATGTGGGACTTTAACTTATTTCATGTTCATTTCTGTAAAACAAATTGATTTAATCTGCATACTAATTTAATTCACTTGCTATGTAGAATTCTCTTGACTAGTTGGTAAACGGAAAAGTAGAAGCACAGTCTAGCCATTTATTAGCACTGCAGCCTTGAGCAAATTTCTTAAGCCTCAGTTCCATACTGGAAAATGTGTGCAGTTGTAAGGAGAGTGTGCCGCGGGTAACCAGCGCAAAAACCCTACCGGGTGCTTGGCACAGTGCTTAAAGGCCCAGGTGGTAGTGAATGTCAATATCAATATTATCATTTGTGCAAATATCACTGAAACTAAGAGTGGAAACAAAGGCAGAGTCTTGGCATGGACCAAGAAGTTACATTAGAAAGTATTTAGTATTAAATATGGACAAATGTTGATAAAGGAATATTGTGTTTTTAAGTTTTACCCTGGGAGGAGTTTATAAGTTGTAAGAAATGTACACTTTAATTGGTCAAGGAAAACATCCATCCTCAGGAATCTTTTCTTGATTCCAATTAAAAAAAAAACAAAAAAAAACCAAAGGCTACTGGCTTGCTTTCCAGATTTTACTAACTAATCGTAAAAAGTTTTAATTTGGAATTTAGAATTAAATCACATCAGTAAGTATTTAATTATGTTATATACTTCCCAAGCCAGCATGGTGGCACACACCTGTAATTCCAGCTACTCAGGAGGCTAAGGCAAGAGGACTGCGAGTTCAAGGCCAGCCTTGGAAACTTAGCAAGATCCTGTCTCAATGGGCTGGGGCTGTAGCTCAGTGGCAGAGTGCATGCCTAGCATGTGTGAGGCACTGGGTTCGATCCTCAGCACCACATATTTTTTTTATAAACAAATAAAATAAAGGTACTCTGTCCATCTAGAACTACCCAAAACTTTTTTAAATCCTATCTTTTGGGGAGCAGTATCCCCAAAAAAGTGTGCTCCCCAAAAAGATAGACTTACCCATCCCCCAACGTGCAGTCGTGAAGTAAAGATGGGGGACCTTTGGGGCTGGGGTGGTGGCTCAGTGGTAGAGTGCTCACCTAGCATGCATGAGACACTGGGTTCAATCCTTGGTGCCACATAAAAAAACAAACTAATGTATCCACCTAAAACTAACGATAAATAAATAAATATTTAAAAAAAAAAAAAAAAAGATGGGGGACCTAGGGCAGTCACACAGAATAGCCAGAAACTCCAATATCTCATGTGTGTCAGATGTCTGACTGGGTTTGTTCCGTTTCCTGCCCAGGCTGCTGTCCTCTGAATAGGCTTATTAGCTTGGTGAGTATTAGGAGTGACTGGAATGCCCTTCCTCACAGTGTTCTCTGGGCAGCACAGGGCCCTAGGGAAGGAAGCTGGGGGAGACCTGCATAGTGTCTCCTCGCTGAGCAGGCTTCCCCTTCTCTCCCCATCTTCATCTCCTTCTCTCCTCTATTGCTCACTGGTGCTTTGGAGGTGGCCACGGAGCCTTCATAATGAAGGGCTCACTGACCACCTATCTCCTAGTCAGGCAGTTCAAATGACGCCCTTTCTTTCATCCTCCACATCACCTCTTGGTTCTCTGAAAATTTCTAGACTTCTGCACTGCACTTAGTTTACATTTTGCATAATTACAAATTTATATTTTACATACTGTCTTGTTTTATATGTTTATATATAAAAAAATCTTAGACTGGCCTTAAGAGCATAACAATGTCCTATACTTTTAAAAATGCTGGGATATAAGTACTTTTTTAATTCAAAATTTCTTTAGTTGCAGATTCTTTATTAAGTGCAAACCAAAGTAGCTCTTGGTAAGTGATCTTGATAATGAGTGGCCGCTAAGGCATATGTCCGGAGGCTAGTTTGTTTGATGATCCACTTTGACACTTACATGCACTGTTTTTTGCAGGGCGATCTAAAAGCTTACCTGCGCAATGAGCAAGAGCACGTGCGGGGGGACTCACAGACCATGCTGCTGCAGAGGATGGCCTGCGAGATCGCTGCGGGGCTGGCGGCCATGCACAAGCTGCATTTCCTGCACAGGTGGGTGTGGCTGGGCACAGGTGCCTCATGCATCTCTACTGTTGTGTCCATAGAGGCTATGCAGTTTGTGAAAAGGCACTAAGGAACCTTTAGGAGCACAGGTTGTGGAGTGAATCCTTGGCTTAAACAAATAGAAGTAGTTCTTCCCAGTGTCCAGGTAAAGGTTGAGTTGGGTTTCATTTAAACCAATACTAGTGAATTAAAACGTCTTAATACAGCTTAAGATCTAGAAATTATTTCCAGAATTTCAAAGAGTTAAAAAGCGTACATGCCGCAGAGTAGGGAGTAAACAGGCCCAGTCTCCCTGGTGACATCCTGCTTGCTGTGTTTTTTTCATGTCACCTCTAGGCATCTGATTGTACTACTAGACACTGTGTCCTGGTTCACACCCCAGCGCAAGGCCAGCAGCATCTTTTCATAGAAGGTCACAGCATTGGCTTCTGGCCAGCTAAACAGTTGGCTTGCAGGTGCCAGCTCAGAAGCAAGGGTGTCAAGGGCTTGGATCTGGGGGCCTGTCCTCGTGTCCAGGGTAGAGGTGGTCACAAGCGGTTTGGGCAGTGCAATGATCCAGGTAGTATTTCTGTTGAAATCTTTCAAGGACTGCATGAAATAACCTCTGCACTTTGTATTTTGTTCAGGTCATTGTTGGTGGTTTTCATAATGAAAACAGCCAAGGGTTTTGAGTTCTATATCACATGGACTCTGTTCGGTGAACCCCAAAAGAGATTTCTACTTATTATCTTCCAGGCTTTTGACCTCAGATTTATGTTTAAAAGACAATTTAATTTCTTAGATATCTGGGGAAACCAGGATGATCTCATTAGTTGGCTGACTAAATCATGTAGCTCTTAATAACCCAAAGACCTGAAAGGGAATACCTGTGTCTTGACTTGAGGGAGGTGTCTGTGAAGTATTGTATTAAAAAAAAAAAAAAAAAAAAACCAGATTGCAGATTAATACATTCATAGTATGACTATAACTTTTTAAAGTAAGACCTGGTTGCATTTGTTAGGAGTGTGTGGACAGGCTTAGAAAAGTTCCCCGCTTCATAGTGGGGAAAAAACGGAAGCTAATCTTTTTCCTACACATCTGCATGTTATTTGACTTGCAGTAATGAACAAGTCGTTCTGATAAAGTGTTCTTAAAAGACCTAAAAGGTTATGGGTTTCTTCAGGCCCAAGGTAGAATTCCTTACATAGAACTTAAAATGTAAATACCTGTTCATGTGATAATGGAGAAATCCTGTATTTAGTCTTTGAATCTTTTATAACATGTTAATATCTAGCATGATTTTTATTGTTAATCTTTTGTCAAATACAGATGATTATTGCCTAACACTTGCCTTAGGGATTTTTTAAATTTTGGAGAAGATAACATTTAGAAATCAGAATTGGGGCTGGGGATGTGGCTCAAGTGGTAGCACACTCACCTGGCATGCGCGGGGCACTGGGTTCGATCCTCAACACCACATAAAAGTAAAAAAATAAAGATAGTGTGTACACCTAAAACTAAAAAATAAATATTTTTAAAAAAATCAGAATCAGCAGCTTAAAGTTACCAAAGACAGCTAGAAATTGTGTTTATAAAGCCCAAGTACCTTTCACTAGTATATTTTAAAAATTAGCCAAGGTGTCAGTGTAAATCGTATTGTCTTGTGAGTTTCCTTGAGTTAAAGTTTTACCTAATTTAGAATTTGTGGACTTTAAAAACAAAGATGATAAATTAAATCACATGATTTGGGCTTTATTCAAATACAAACAAAAACTCAAGGTAAAGAAAAAAGAAAATCCTTGAAAGCATTGACAGATTTTTCAAACATCATTGCAGATGTTTTAAAAGTAGCCCTTATTTTATGTAAAAGTTTGTGTGGGTCAGGATTTTATGTTTTAAGTTATTTTTTTGTGTGAGTAGCCTATTGTATGGTGTATTTAAAGTTGGGATTTAGAATATTTATTGGTTGAGTTGCTGTGTTGATTGGGTTGAAGTAGAGCAGCCCACCTGTCCAATCCAGGGTTGTCACTCATTGGGAACTGGTTAAGTTTTGTTTCTCTGTAATGTTTGAGAAGAGCCTTATGGCTGGGTTCCAGGCAGCCTGTGTTTCTGAGTGGCCCACCCCAACGGTAGCCTAGAATCCAAGACCACCGTCTTCTGCCTGTGTCCTCTTCCTGAGTAGTAAGATGCCATCAGGTCACTGCAGTAGGCTTAGTGGGAAGTCTCCATCAGGGGACATTGCCCTTGTGCTGGCTCTGGTAACCGGAGGCCTTGAGGAGGTAGGTCCTGGGTGATGTCAGTACACCGAAGAGCTTCTTCAGACTATGTCTTGTTCTAAAGTTCAAGGTACTTTTTGCTAAGAACACTGAGGTCACTAAGTTTTCCATCCACCAGAGTGTAAGGTAATCAAGCATTATAGGGGCACAGTAAATAAGCCCTTGGTAGCCCAATGAGTTGGCACACACCAGGAATCCCAGTGACTCAGGAGGCTGAGGCAGAAGGATCCCAAGTTTGAGTCCATCCTCAGCAACTTGGCAAGACTCTATCTCAAAATAAAAGGGCTGGGAATGTAGCTTAGTGGTAGAGCACCCCGGGTTAAGTTCCTAGTACTGGGGAAAAAAGACCCTTAGTTAAGTGTCTTTTTATGTGTTTTTGTTGTTGTTGTTGTTGTTCGTTTGTTTATTTTAATTGATTGTACCCTGTGTGTCCTTATTGGTAATGCTTACTTTGTCACCAATCAGGGAGCTCTACCTCTGGTCTGGCTATTTTTTTATTTTGTTTAAGAATTTTTTTTTAGTTGTAGATGGAGACAATGTTTTTATTTTATTTATTTATTTATTTATTTATTTATTTATTTTGTGTGTGTGTGGTGCTGAGAGCAAACCTAGTGTCTCAACATGTGCTAGGCAAGTGCTCTACCTCTGAGCCGCAACCCCATCCCTGGTCTGGCTGCTTTTTAATCCAGTTATTAGGGGTTTTCCTTAATTTGTGTGTCAAATCTTAAAAATTCCTTTTAATATTTACTGTTGTCAAGATGGGTCTTGAAGGAAAAAATACATACATGGCAATATGTGTTTGTTTGCTTTTAATTCATTTAAGTTCAAATTAAAGCTACAGACAGTGCCTGGCATACACTGGTGTTAAATGAGAAGAAGAACTAGAACTCCAACAACACTTTGCTTTCCTGATGGAAACAAGGACTCCCCTTCAGGCTGTGCAGTTCTAATGTCGTGGACACCTGTGATGCTCTGTGAGGGGGCATGGGCAAGGGGCAGGCAGGCCAGGCCTCTGTCTTCACTAGTGGACTGATAATGCCAATGCCAAATTCTCCAGATTGATGTAGAGTAATGAAGTCATGGAGCGCTTGGTGTTATGTCCAGCCTGATGACACACTCGGGAAAGAAGTGGGAGAGGAGATGATGATGGCCATGATGATAATGAAGACAATTAGGGGTGGGCCTAGTTTCCTTTTGGAGTTTTAATTTTCTTGCTTTTTTGGATTAGTAAGGTAAAGACACATAAACTTCCTAGGATAAGTATTCACTGATTGCACTTACATAGTCTACAAAGTTCAAGTATAGAGAAGGTGAGAGATAGGGAAATGTATTTAAAATCAAAGCTACATTCTCAGCTAATGCTCCAGCAGGAGAGTTAAAACATAGCCATGTTTGGCAGGATGATTACTACATAAAACAGTCTGTGAATACTTATTTGATTATTCTCAGAAATAACCCTGTGAGCCATGAGGATGGTGCAGCTATTAACCCCTTTTACAGAGCAGAATACTGAGGCTCAGAGTGGTTAACTGTTTCTCTGTGTCAGCCACTATTGCAAGGAGCAGTTTGAACCCAGGCACAAACACCATGTGTGCTCATTTATGCCAACGAAATGAATATGGTCTGGGGTAATCCAGGTAGGTTTTCAGAAGGAGGTGGCATTTTAGTGATCCTAAATGAGCGTAAATTAGAGGATGGGGAGATTAGGAAGCTGCTGGAGAATGCAGTAGTGAGAGGACATGTGTTAGGGGAGGAACTGAAGGAAAGGGAGTTGAGGGAGCTCTCAGTAGTCTAGTTTAACTGGCATAGAAGGTACACAGCAGCAGCGGGGGAAGAGAACCGAGGGGCAGCCGGAAACCAGAGCACAGACACCACCAAGACAAGGTCTCTGGACTCAGTCTGTAAGGGATGGGAGGGTACGTCTCCAATGAATGTGTCTGTCTGCATGTGCATACGTGATCACTTGCAGTGCAGTTTGGAGTGGTTCGGTGAGAGAAGACAGTACTGACTCAAAAGCCAAATAGAAATTTGTAGGTGGTGGCTGTCCATGGATGCTTTTAATTTTACTTCCTACATAAAAAAAAATGTGTTGGAGGCCAGAGACTGTTTTCTCTCTCATCATGTATTTCATATAGAAATGAGGAAAGGAACCAGTTTAAATTAGTTTAAACCCAGGGGGAAATGGAAGACACGGCTGCACTGAAAAGGTGATTAAAGAGCTTTCTTTAAAAAGGTGCCTGTTCCAGAGGGTGCATGGTTGACTTCCAGCTAACCTTGAGCGAAGAGAAGACTGTTGTATTCAGCCACAAAGAAGATGGAAATTTCTATCACACATTTGATAAATCCATCATGATTTTAACAAAGGGTGGTACAACTGGGCACAATGGCACATGCCCTAATCCCAGCCGCTCAGGAAACTGAGGCAGGAGGATCATGAGTTCAAAGCCAGCCTCAGCAACAGCAAGGTGTTAAGCAACTCAGTGAAATCCTGTCTCTTAATAAAATACAAAATAGGATCGGGTTGAGTGGTTGAGTGCCTCTGAGTTCAATCCCCAGTACAAAAAAAAAAAAAAGGTAGTGTTAAAAAAAAAATTATAGTCATTTTTTGTTAATGAATGTAGATACATACTAACAAGTTGTATCCAGCAACAGGTGAATAAAACAGGTACAACTTCTAGGCATATGGAATATCTGTGTAATTTATCACATTGGCAAGATCAAAGAAAAGAAATA